TCTTATGCCTGAGTAATCGAGGACCCAAATCTGGCCCAATAGATTTGATTTACAAAAACGTGTTCACGGCTGCCTTCTTTTACTGGTGCAGTAAATCACAGGAATTGTCAGCCAACATCATGTGATGGGCTCAGACAGCTGTGATTAGTACTGCAAGGCTCTCTTCATATTCTGATAGCATTTCCACTAATAAATAAACAGACATTTGAGCAACTTGTAGCACTGTGCTTGGAGTAATTATGAGCCAACTTATTCTGTATGTGCCACAGAGGAGATACATATTTTTATTAATTTATTTTTCCTGGTGGGAAAAGTTGAAATATGGGCAAAGCATGTCTACTAAACTAGGCTTCTTAATTTTATTCCTGTAAAATTAATATCTTCTACTGTTCCTAAAAAGAAAATAATCATATTATTTAAGGAACAGAAAAACGTTTGTGCTGATTCTTCTCGGCACGCTGCATCTTTGCTGGGTTGTGTTGAAAATGCACATGGGTAAAACTGCATCAAGAATGTTTGTTTCTTTATTAAAGAGTTTATTTTCTCTCTTGCTGTTCTTTTTCTCAACCCATATTAATTCTGTGCACTTGGTGCTAGTCAGAAGACATCACTGTAAATATTCCCCTTAGCACAGTTACATTGATGTGGGATCCATAAGCTGTAAGGGCCTTGGATTTTTGCTGGGAAAGTTTATCCACTTCATCCCATGCTATTTTCCAAGCTGGTTAAAGCATCTTTTCATGGCTTGACAGCACCTCCTCCTGGAAAACTCTTCATCTGTTAAAGTGCACAAGTGCAGCTCATGCCTCTCTGGTGCTGGAGCTGCTGGGGACAATGCCCAGCCATGGGATTTAGGTCCTTTCATCCCTTTGCCACCTCCACGTCCCTGAAACAGGATCAGCCTTCATGGTGTGCACTGAGAGCAGAGTCAAGGCAGGTTTGATGTACAGAGCCCAGTGCTGTGGGAGCAGGTTGGCTCCCGGAGCAGCCAGAGCGGTGCCAGAGCTCCATCCCGGCCAGCATTCCCCTCCTTTGATGCCATTCCTCTTCCTGCAGTCCTCCAGGACAAATCTGTGAATTGCCTTCCTCTGTTCTGCAGGGATCTGCAGCAGGCACAATTCAAGTACCATGTAAATATTTATTTGTCACTCCCAGAATGTATTCTGAGCCTGACTGGCAGGTTTTCACTTTGTCATTTGTGTGTCTGTTCAGGAGCAACGCATGGATGGAATGTGAAGGTCACATTGCAGCAGGGACTGCTCATCCCTCTTTCTTTGTTCCTCCTCGGCCATCCGGAGATGCAGGAGCCTGGGAAGCTGCTGGTGCCATCTGTGGCATGGCCAGAGGCAGTGGGTGATGCCAGCCCTGCTCCTGGCTCTGCTCAGACACCGAGCAGCCCCAGCTGGCCCCGGGGCTGAGGGTGTCTCACCCATCTCTGTGCCACACACGAGGCAGGGGTGACCAGCTGAGGGCATGGAGACTGCATTCCCCCACCCAGGAATCCATCAGCTCCCTCTGACCTTTGGGAAACTGAAAGACAGAGTGGCTGTACTTGTGGAACATCAGAACAATAAAATGTCTTTGCAGCACTGGGAGCCCAGACATGCAGACACTTTGCCTGAACCCACAGAGGAAAAGAGTAGATTTTAGTTTCTCTGTTTTAAAAATCCCACCAGATTTACCATACCAGGGCACCTAAATTTGATCCAGGCCACAAGGTTTCTAGGACAGTCACAAATCACAGTTAGGAAGGGTACAGGTTTTCCCTTGGAGTACTCAAGGCATGAAAAACCAACAACAGGCTGAGTTTCCAGTGTAGACTGGAGACAGGTTTTCTCATTAAGACAGACCTGGTTTCTGTTATTCCTCTGTGCAATAAATCCCGTGGTTGATTTTGAAATCTAAGGAACTTGCTGCAGCCAGAGAGCCCCCAGCAAGGGAGGCCAGAGCTGGCTGTGCCTGGTTGTTGCACAGGAGGAATGGTGGTCCTTCCCTTCCCTTCCCTTCCCTTCCCTTCCCTTCCCTTCCCTTCCCTTCCCATCACCCCAGGTGGGAACACCTGGAACAGAGGCCTCAGAGTTGTAATTTTTCCTTCATGTTGCAGAAAAGTCTTGGGAAAAATCCTGGATAACCTTCCCTGGGATTTGAGGTGAAGTCTGGGGATTCATGGAAGGTGTCCTTGTCCATGGAAGGAGGGCTGGAATGAGATGGTTTTGAGGTCTCTTTCAGCCATTCTGTGATTCCATGATTCTCTGACAGCCCCAAGAGCCTGGAGTGAGCAGGTTCTGAGCTGAGGCTGCAGTGGGTGCACCTGAGCACAGAAATCAGCTCTGTCTCTGCTCTACCTTTGCCATGGGAAATATTTCCAGTGGTTTTGGGGAGCAGTGAATCCTTATTGTCTAAACTCAGCCTGAAACCACAAGAAACCCCTGCTATAAATTGGCTGGCTCTCATAAACCCAGTGCTATAAATCAGCTGATTGATGCTTGTATAAATCTTGTATTTTTTTTCCCCCAAGTTTTCCTACACTTTTCACTGGGAATGTTTTTGATATAACCCCTTTCCTTCAATCTGACAGCTTTTTTTTACTTGTCCTATGTCCATAAAGCCTACCAAAAACATCAGCCTCACAGACCTTCTCTCCAGGAAATGCCATTAAGATTTTATTTTAGCAAAAGTGAGCAGCCCTTCAGAAATCCTTTATCAGGTCTGGTTTTTCCTGTTGTGGTTTGCCTCTTGCTTTTTTTTTTTTTTGCTTTTTTTTCCATGGATAGCTGTAATTTAAAGCTTACGAGATCGATAAGTCCAAGATGCACAGCATAAATGGGAGAAGCAGACAAACAACTGGTAAAGATAGGAGACAGCTGATGAAAATGAATTCAGCTATAAAGCATTTGAGTTACTGTTCTCTGCTCTGATTTCTGAGAGAGATTAAAAAATAGGAGGAGGGGGAGACACAAATCATCATTGCCTCCTCCCTCAGAATCTCAGGTTGAAATAGTGTTGAATTTCTTCTTTTTCTTCCCATGTCTCTAGATAAACAGGAGATTTTTTTTATTTGGAGGAGAGCTTTTAATCAATTGCAGGAGAATTGGCTTAACACAGAGCTAAGTGGGGCAAGTGTAATGGCAGGAAGTCTGGACCTGATGTAATAACAGCATCTTGTCTTTCACTCCCTGAGTCCAGCCCTGTGATAGACTGAAATCCTGAAAATGGCCTCTGCTCTGCCCTGCTTTGTGGCAGAAGGATTTTTCCACTCTGTTTGGTGACTCTGCGTGGGGCTGGGTTGGGGTTTGCTGTGGTTTCCAGCCCAGGCATGTCTTACAAGGCTGGGACCAGGCTGGCAGAGCTCGGCTGGGCTGGGCCCAGCTGGCACGGGCTGGGGCTCAGACAATTTGCATTTGGCATTACAAATTGCAGTCACATTGCTCTGGGGAGGTGCAGGCTCTCGGAAAGGCAGAGTGCAGTGCCAGCAGGAGAACAAACATTGCTGAGCTAAAGCCTCAATAGAAGTCAAGAAGGATTAAGGTGCAGCTGAAAGTAGAATTGGGGTTCCTAAATCACCGCTTTAGAAAATGTGTTCTGTTCACATCAAAACCATAATTTATCTACAGAGGGGTCAAGCTGTAAAATACATGTGCTAGTGAGTTGTGTTTCAGTGAAACTGCAAATTTCTATTGATGGGGAGATTCTTATGAATGTTCCCTGTGTGCCCATGGCCACAGAAACTCCCTGAAAGGCTGAAGATGTGTGTGGCAATAAGCACTGACATTTTATATATTTACATACACATTTACACCTGTGTGTGCTGAAGCTGTCTCTGTTTAGCCCAAAAGATCAGGGGCACTTTGCAATTTGAATTTGAAATGCTCTGTCTGTGAAAGGAGGTCCAGGTGCACGTGGGGACTTTGGAAAATTGGGATTGGCCCTGTCCATGGGGAAATAAATCTGTCTGCACCTGGTGAGATGAGAGCAGATAAAGAGATTATCAAGTAGTGACAAGAAAGAAAATAGGTTAGCTGAATTCTTCTTTATACTTCTCCTCCCTCAAGATGTCTCTCTGAATATCTTGTCATTCATACGGCGAGGGTGGAAAGAAAATCACTTTTAAAAGTGACCCACAGATGTAGAAACAGACCAAAATGGTGCTTGTGTGCTCGTTTTGCCCCTGGGTGACACAGGATTTGGTCTGGGTGGGTTGTAACACTTGGGAGAGCAGGAAAAGTGGGGTTAAAGCTCCAAAGTCTTTTCCATGCTTTTGCTGCTCCCAGCAAACAGTGACCCAGCTGCAGGTGGGAATATCGAGGCCAGTGGCAGAGGTGTGTCCTCTCCTTGTAGTAAAGATACAGAAATGCAGCTCTTGGTCAGTGTGTTTGAAACAGGTGGAATGTATTGGGGAAAAAAACCCAACCAATTTAGGGATCTGTTTCCTCTTGGATGAGCTTTTCTTCCACGAGCCTTTTATATTTCTTTTCCTTTAAAGGAAAGTAACTGTTGAAAATCACTTTGAAACGTGTTTCATGTTAGGAGAGCAATAATGTAGGTGGTGATTGATAAGATTTATTGTTTCTGGGTTCGTGTTATCTTGTGATTCTGAGGAAAGCTGAATCTTATCTGTTTGGTGCTGTATAAACACTTAACAGACTTCAGAGAGCTTGTAATGTGAGCAGACAAGAAAGGCAAAGGAAGAGAGGGGAAATGTGCAGAAAATTCCTCGTTCCAAGGCCACAAACCAGATTTAAAATAAAAATCAGATCTCCTCACTCCTGCCCATATTTCTCTATTCCATGGGGGACTTTGCTTCTGTTATTCAAATATGGAAAAACCTCTCCTTTTCCAGGTAAATGAAGGGCAAGGAGAATGAGATCAGACAGAAACTCAGCATACAGGGGAAAAAAAAAAATAAAGCAAAGGAATTGTGCTGATAAAGGTGCTGGTTTTAGATAAATTCAACATATGACATACCATTACTCAAATCACAATTCTGTCTTTATTCCTAGATGCAGTAAAGTGGGAAGAAGGATTCAGATGTAAAACTACAACCTGACCATGCATTGATGAGGAAACAGCCACATGTTCTGGTTAGAAATGCATATTTTTCTTCTTAATTAAATATTTCTGTTCTGGGTGTTGATTTTATTTGTCTCTCTTCATGAATCATCACAGTTCAAGTCCTTGTAACCATTTTGGACCTGTTTGATACCATCTCTGTATGGAAAAAGCTTCCTGTAAAAGCACAAACAGGTGTCTGTGTGTGTTTGTGTGCATGTAGGTATGCTTTGGAATGATTCCCTGGGATTTTAATTCCCTGGAGGATGTGGACAAGCTTTCAGAGCCTGACAGCTCTGAGGTCAGATGGAGCTTGTTTGTCTTCTCTTTTTGCAGCTCAAGCAAACACTCATTTGTTATTGTGTGTGGAGCTGAGCCCTAAGCCAGGCTTTATCCTGTTGTAGCAACTAATTGGTGAGGAAATTGTGATTTTACATTCAAAAAACCCCCTCAGTTCTGGAGAAAAAGGTGCTGTGACCATTCTACCCTGATTATTTCAAGGTCAGTGTCCCATTCTGCTCCCCAGCAGCTGCTGGTGGCCATCAGGGCAGGGAGGGGCTGGAAGGATTTCCTTGGATTTCCTAAAAGCTGAAGAGAACCAGCGGAAGAGCAGGGCCTTGGTGGTGGCACTGCCAACAACTCTTCATCAGGGAAAAAAGGCTTTGGAGCCCTGGAGTTATTTATGGTTTGCACTTCTCCAGGACAGTTTGTTTCCATGGGATTTTAGTGCCCATGGACCCTTCCTGTAGGGAGATGTGCCTGGAGGAAATAATCACACTGGCAAGGGGGTTCTGTCTATTTATTGAACTATTTTTAAATCCTATTCAGGAAAAAAAAAAAAAAACCAGCAAAACCCTCCTGTAATTCTGTTTTCTTTCTGTTTGTGGCTGCTGAAAAGGGAGTCCTGGCTACAAATGCATGCATTTCCCATGAACTTTTATTAACAGGAGCTTCAAGGTGAAAACTTGGCCTATAATGGGAATTATTAACACCATAACTTCCTTTTGAGCTGCCATTTTTTAGGATTTTGTGTTCTGCTTGCTGGGATTGACTACTGTAGAGAGCAGGTTTCTTATGTATCTGCTGCTGAATTTCATTTTGTGAACTTTTGTGTTCTGGAGAAACCAGAATGATAAACTTATTGACAAAATGTAGTTTGTCTGAATAGTCTTTAAAATGTTTTAGGATTTTTTAAAAATTCTTTTCTTATACCCACTGATAAATGGATTTTCCCCATTACAGCCAGTGATGCTTCCAAGCAGAAAATAATTTACTAATTTCTGATCAACCCCAGCTAATCAGGCAGGCAGTGGGATCCAGCTGCTGTGTAAGTCCAGATCTCCATAAAATCTGGTTCTATTTTCATTTATCTCATTGTGGGAGCAGCTCTGACCTGAAAAACTCACTTCCTTGTGTGTTTGTGAGTTAGCTGATAAACTTTCCCTGTTTCGAGACCATCCAGCTGGAAAGGCCACCATGAAATGCTGGCTGGTTTTTGGGTGTGAATGAAAAAGAAGAAAGATTTATTCTTGTTTTTCATAGGGGAAAAATTTTGTTGTTCCTTCTTGTACACCTCCAGAACCTTCTCCTACCTTTTATCCCCCAAACCTTCTCCTGAAGGATTTACTGTTTTCTCGTGGGGGACAATTTGTTGTCTCTTCTTGTACACCTCCAGAACCTTGTCCTACCTTTTATCCCCCAAACCTTCTCTCTGGGGGGGTGTCCCATGGGCTGAGCTGCTCCATTTCCAGGGAGGAACCCTGGAAATGCAGGCACAACCTTCCAAGTGCAGACCTGAGCAGCTTTTGTGATTTTTTTTTGTGATTCCTGTATGGAATCACACAATCATTTAGGCTGGAAAAGACCTTTAGGGCCACCAAATCCAACGGACTGCTGCAGCTCTGCTGAGGCCACCACTGAGCCATGTCCCCATGTCCCCAAATGCCACATCCACACAGTTTCTGAATTCCAAGGAAGTCCTAAAGTGCCTGCAAGTGTGGAAGTTTGGAATTGGAGTATTTCCCCCCTTTGGATCCCAGTTTAAACCACCCACTTTTGTGTTTTTCTGCTGTTTCCTCTCGGACTGAACCCGTTTCTCAGGGCAGGGAGCAGCCTGGTGACCTCCTTGCCCTGCATGACCAGAGAATGAACCCAAAGCCATTCAGATGGGGCTCCAGACTGGAGTTAATCTGTGCTGCCCCACAAATAACTGCATTTACTCACAGAGGGGCTTTTTATTTAAACACATTTCTCCTCTTTGTCAGAGAAGGAATTGTAATTAACATTTCATTGTGTGATGAACTCCCTATATTAAGAGCATTTTTGGTGAATCTGTTACCTTTTAAAATATATTTGGCAGTGGGAAAGTTGGGAATCGTTCATTTTCACTTAAAATTCAGGGCATGGTGTGTGAAACTGTGTTTATGAGGAGGGTACATGGTCCTGTCATTTTCTACTTGCTTAAAAGCTACATAAGTGGTTGAGGCTCCCATCCTGAGGAGAAGAAAGGGCTCATTAAAAAGATTAGCTCATAGAGAACAAATTAAACTTCAGTGCCCTGCATAAAGATTATAATAACTGTAATAATAAATGAATTAATAATGCATTAAAGGAGAATTCCTCCAGTCAGCTTGTCACACGCTTATCCTTGAAAATTGACTTCAGTGATGTGTGTCACATGAGCTAATGACCTTAACTGATGGATTTGGGATTTTTCCATACTCCAGAATCCACTCAAACCCAGATTTCTGTATTTTTGACAGTCGGTTTGCTGGGTAGACATGCAGTAAGTTGAGCCATTTGGTGCTGCTGGCTGGGGAGGAAGCTCTAGTTTTAACCTCAGGTAATCAGAACTGGTAAATCCTGAGCACTTGGAAGGGGAAAAATTGGCAATCCAGTGCTGGAGGCCGCCCAGCTGCACCAGAGGTGAACATCTTGGGCTGATGTGGGATGCAAAATTTATGTGAAACTGACAGAGAGTAGGTTTAGACCAAACATTATGAAGAAATCCTCACCTGGGAGGGTGGGGAGGGCCTGGAATGGAATTCCCAGAGCAGCTGTGGCTGCCCCTGGATCCCTGGCAGTGCCCAAGGCCAGGCTGGATGGGTTTGGAGCAGCCTGGGACAGTGGGAGGTGTCCCTGCCATGGCAGGGCTGGAATGAGTTGAGCTTTAAGGTCCCTTCCAACCCAAACCAGTCTGGAATTCTGTATGGGGAGCTCCCATAAATTTGAAGGTTTTGTTCCCACTGTTATAAATATGGAATTATCAGGATTTACATAAACATCCATAGGAGTTTAGCTGGGGAATTGTAGGTGCTGAGGCACCTCTAGACAGCAGAAAAGTGAGAGTTTGGGGATTTCTGCTGTTTCCCCTGGGTAAGGGCTGATTTTCTAATGGTTGTTACACTGGGGGAAAATTGAATTAAGGGAATTGATTATCCAGACATGGTAAGCCAATGTTGGTTGTAAAATGCATCTTTAGACACCTGGGTACCTTTAAAATGAATCCATTATTCACTCCTGAAACCCAAAGCTGCTCCTCTAAACCCAGGCACTACTGAAGATGGAGTTTACATGAGCCATGGCATGGTTAATTTACAGAATCTTGAAAGAAGTGAGGCTGGAAGGGCCCTGGGGAGGTTCAGAAAAGAATCTGTGGCTTCCAGAGATTATGGGGAACACTTACCCTGTTCCTACAGAATCATGGAATGGTTTTGGGTTTGAAGGGACCTCAAAGATCATCTCATTCCAGCCCCTGCCATGGGTAAGGACATTTTCCATCAGCCCAGGTTGTTCAGTTTATAATGATTCTGTCACAGTGGTGCTCCTCTGTGTCCTTAGTTACAACTGCAAACAGGTATTTGTAGGTGTTGATTTAACACTGAGCTTTGCCTATGAAAGACATGAAAGCAAATTCCTTCTGGGATGCTTTTTTTTGTTAAAATTTGAAAATAATTGAAAATTCGTCTCCGGTGTTTTGTTGCTTTTATTGGAAGGGTATTTTTAATAAAAATCTCATTCAGCATAGAAAGGGCAACATCAATGGGGTTTTTATCAGTGCTTTGCATCATGTTAATACCAGAGCCAACAATGAGTTGTGCAGGTATTATACCAGAACAAAGGAAATTATTCCAGGGATTTTATCAGAGAATATTTTGAGTTTGCTTGTCAAGCCATGCAAAATGTGCTCTGCTTTATTTGCTGGCTGGTGCCAGAGCAGTGGAACAGTTGCTGGAGTTTGCACAGGGATTCTTTTCTCTCCCTGCCCTGGTTTGCTTTGGCACATTATTTGATCCACGCTGGGAAAATAGTGAGAGATCAAATAAAAGTGATGTATTAATACCTGGAATTGTTACAGCTCAGAGGAGTATTGCCTCTTCATCACTGGAAGTGGTCACTGGGGGTGCTGGAAGTACAATCCTCTTTTTCAGCCTTCCCAGCAATAAAGACTCAGCTGTGAATTCTGCAGAGTTTTGGAGCAGAGCAGGTCCCCACAGCAGTGGAAGCACAGCTCTGCCTGCTGGGCTGGATCTGCTCCTCCAAACCCCCCTGATTTCTGCTCTCAGGGCAGCAGAATACTGAGGTGTTCTTAAATTCCCACTAACGAGGCTGGGTTCATTAGCACTCTCATCAAATGGCTTTCAGTTGCTATCAGTCTGACTTGGATTTGAATTGATGACCTTGAGATAAAAGGCTTTTTATTCTATTACCCATCTCCTGAGCCATCAAGTCTTTAATATGCCGTGTAAAATAATTTTTCAGATGGTATTTCTTTTATATAATATCGTCGTTTGTTGCTAATGATGTCTGATTTTGGGTGCTACAAGCTATAATTGTGCACAATAGTACTTTTGTTATTCCTATTATTTCAGATTTATCTGCTGTATTGCCAGATACTTGTAGACACAGAGAAAATAGATTGGTAATGGAGTGCAATCCAGTTTTATATAAACGAGTTAATAAAATCACATAAAAATACAAAGTTAAATTCAGCATCAGCAAAGCTCATCTGTTACTTCTGTAAATTGAAGTA